CACCTGTTTCAATTAAAGTTTTTCCTTCTACCATCGCCATTATATGATTATGATGGAAGTAATGTTTTCGATATGCACGAAGTAGTGGTGATTACTCGTTAATCGATGGCTATATGGAAACAAAAGTCCGTGAATCAATGTACAACCAAGGGAAGGGCAAACTGGTAACAGTAACAGAACTCGTAAAAATACGCAATAAGGTATGCACTTTTAATGAGTTGTCCTTTCTCTGAGACCGATAGGTGACCTTTATACCAGCAAGTACACTCCATATCCCAGAGATGGAGAGTCCGTGGCTGCGTACTTCATTCAATAGTGGCGACAGCTGCGCTTCTGGATGGATACTGCAGTTTCAGAACAATTGCAAACATGATTTTGTAAGTGCAAGATAGGACAATACTTGTATCGAATGGAAATATCCCACGAGGAACGCATCTTACGTCATGTTAAGTGAAGTACACAGCCACGCCCATTCCATCCCTGGGATGTGGACGTAGAAACATGGTAGTGCTTCAGGAAAGAAATGAACGGCTGAGCGCATTCTCACGAAAGAAGGGAAAAGGCAAAAGCGGTCCCAATGTACTGGATGAGTTCAAACAGGAAGGCGAGAACGTTGGTGATCTGAAGAAAGGTACGTTCAGGCTTACCTGTATAAATGATTCCAATTGGATTGAGACGGTTCGAAAAGGCTGACCAGCTGACTTTAAGATACAGGAAGATTGTAAACTTAACAATTTATGGGATCACGGCTTGCCGTGGTCCCTGAAGAGATTTATTTTGGAGCTCTCCAATCACTTTCTCATGTATCTTCCCACGATCGCTGAGACGCTCGTTGAGGCCTGGCGTTACTCCGGGGTTGAGACTTAAAGGCAGTGGGCACGATAGCTGTAGGCGGGCGGTTGCTGCCAATGTAACTGGTAGAAGGGCGCGGGAGAGCGTTTGGCCACAACTTCACCAATGACGTTCCGCCGGCCATTGTGCTCACTGCCCTCGAAATTCAACGTTCTAGACTTGCATACGTGCGCTGGGTATAATAAAAGGATACCAGCCATACAGATGGGGGAGGGGCAAAAAAGTCACTTTTCTTCATTGACTTTCGAGGCGCTATAAGTTACACTTTATTGAATTCTGATCGGACATTTTACCACCATATTAAAGAGCATATCAAATACTATCATGACACTCCGCCACAGCCTTCTGGACGAGCGCCATCGAGAGATTCTGGCACGCGACCGCGATGTGGTGCCTGAGATCAGCGAGATAGTCGATTTCTCCGCCACCGTAGACCACCCTATTGAACTCCGCCCGAACCGGGTAATTGAGGGGATTCAGGTCAGGTGACCTACTTGGATATTCCATCTTCTTTAGGTACTCAGCCCCCTTCCATTCCAAGTAGGCGAGAGTTTCTCCAACGCCCTTCGATTTCATGTGGTGGCACTCAATGCTGTAGCAGTACAAAGTTTCCAAGAAGGTACGGGCGACGACATGTGAGGAGGATATTCTTCACGAGTTGCTCGATGTAACCGCCAGCGCTCACCTTCAGTCCGGGGTCCACGAAGAAAATATTGGTCTTTCCATTCCAGGTACGTCCGGTCCATACCATCAACCCGCGCCTTGGCGACTGCGGTGAAGATGATGTCCTAGACCGTAGCGACGTTGTCGGAGCTGCTCGATGTTGGAGGTCATCCAGATCGAGAGTACTGGTCTCCAGGTAGCTATCCATGGGTGACTGTTTCGCAGCTGTTTGGAGGTGACATGAATTCCAAAGGTCTTCTCCAGTCAGGCTGCGACTGGAGATGACTTCATATTTTGGTGTACATGAAGGTGATGGGCGAGAGCCAGCTTATCGAGGAACATCTTGGGTATCTTCCGCCCTGGTACTCGTATCCACGTCCTCTGTCTGGGCAGCGAAAACTTTGCTGATATGTGACTCGGTCGAAGTGACTTTTTTTTTTGCCCCCTCCCCCTGTATGTACGAAGCGTTTCAGACTCATTCCTAGAGGTACCAAAAGCATCTTTTATGGTTGTCTCTTTATTGTACTTTCACATTTTTAGCTTTAAAACTGCTTGATGGTGGAGGAAAAGGAGGGCGAGGCGAATCCAAATACCGGGAGATCGCCTGGAAACTCGAAGAAAGAGGTCTGTCATTGCAAGGTCATTAGTTCCCGACAAGGCGAAGATGATCCTTCACCGGTTTCTTTCAGGTGCCATGGGTGAAACAATAATAGGCATCTGTTTACTTCAAGGAACTGATGTACATAACAAGTTGGCTATGAAAATTATAGAGGCGTTTCCAAAGTTGATCAATGACATCAACATATCTGAAGATTTTTACGGTGAGTGAAACGCTCCTTTCTATCATTTTTGGTCCACACAGTTGGTACCTGCGCAATCAGTCGGAGCGGTTTCAAGAGAAGTGAAATGAGCCCATCCGCAGCGTTCCTACTATTGGTTATTTTCTTGAGAAATAAACCACTAATCGATCATCATTGGTGGAACAAGGCAGTCGAAGGCGGGCTCGTTCTGCCTTGCCTAACAGCCCTCGACTAACTGCGACGTTATCAGCTATGGAAACTTACGAGTGGGCGCCAGTAACGTCTTTATTCGCCCTGCCGCGAGCTCCCTCTCGTTTGAAAGCAGTTCCGTGACGGAAGGTGAGTAGGTATCGGGGTTTGAAAACAGAAGTGTTTGTGTTAGTTGACCTGAGAGTACAAAAAAAAAAGCTGTGGAAAGCGTACAAAACTCCCCGAATAAGATCCTCTCCAATGCAAACGAAAGGCAACCAGTGTGTGGAAATTCCAGGGGAGGGATCCGACAAGTGCAGCGAGAGAACATGTAAACGAGCAAGACGACAGTTACGACAGCTGGCAGTGCGAGCGGAGCTCTATGAACAACTCTGCGCCTTGACGCCACTACTTGCAACGTTCTGACGCGAAATTTGTACAAAGTTCTTTATTGTGGTCTACACTACATTTCCGTTCGATTTTTGAGAACAGAATGTAGGGCCTACCTCTCCATAGAGACTATCTGACTATTATCCCACGCTGTCTTGGTGTTTATGCCACTAACCCAAGGAATACAGTTGATAAACGCTCGCTACAAAGAAGGGTTTCAAAGACAGATTCCATAATTGTTTGTGGCCTTTGAGTTCTGTATTCGTTGATGCTGAGTGACTTTCTTGAAAAAAGGGCGACAAAAATAAAGTATTTTTGAGAAGGAACCGTGGACATTCACCTACAGTCCTCATCATTGCGGACTGTCGGGGCGGCTGAGCCGCGCTGCACTGTGACGCGACAGCGGCTGCGGCTCGGTGACGGCGAATCAGCTGATTTCCATGGAATTCGGCTGCGAATTCCCACTTTTTCAGCTCTTCAAGCTTCGAAAGTGGAAGGTGAGTTATTTTGAACAATTTTAAATTGTACTGGCTCTGAATGAATCTGAAAGAATGCAAGCCATTTGAATAAATGCCTGAAATAAGGCAAAATACAAGGAAAAGAGCATAATAATCGACATAAAAATAAAGGAAATTAGAGCCAGTACAATTAAAATTGTTCAAAATGACTCACCTTCCACTTTCGAAGCTTGAAGAGCTGAAAAAGTGGGAATTTGCAGCCGAATTCCATCGAAATCAGCTGATTCACCGTCACCGAGCCGCAGCCGCGTCACAGTGCAGCGCGGCTGTGCCACCCCGACATGAGGACTGTAACTACACGCTACGGATGAGGCATGTCAAGGGAGGAATAGATTTAGCGCGGTGTCAGCCCTTTTTCTTTATTCAGTGCTTTCCGCAGGCGGCAGTCTGTACCATATAGTTCGCATCAGTAACTGCCCACCAGTTGTTCCTGCTTAATCGCCTCAGCAACTGAGAGAGAGCGGGATGGCGGCACGCCAAACCCACCTTCACCTGTTACCCTCGTCATCCGCAGCGAACAAGGCTGTATGCACTTGTTCCAATTTTTTCAAGCACACGTAGTTCATTTGGTCAAATAGTTGAATTCTTCTGCGGATTTACTATTTCCCTTTCGAGGGTTATCTCCTCTCCACCAAGCAGTTATCAACCAGGACTGCCATATGGTTTATGTGCTACTCAAGAAAGGTGCTGATGTGAATATACGGTGTTACGGAGCATTCTTCTGTGCTGAAGATCAAAAGGCTGGAAGAACGGATTCGCTTGAGCATGAATATGTTGAATTGTCCTTGAAAACGAACTACACTGGGTGAGTCTCTTTGGAAGGAGTGCCATATATCCTTAAGTTCCATTTCGCCTTGAAACCTTCATTCATACACTGATTAGGAACCCATTGCATTACATTATTTTTCATTTTTTTAGTCACATGTATTTTGGTGAATATCCATTGTCCTTTGCTGCTTGCATGAATCACCAGGACTGCTATCGGCTTCTCATAGCTTACAAAGCGAACCCGAATGCCCAGGATACCAACGGCAACACTGTACTTCATATGTGCGTAATACACGAGAATATGGTATGTTACTTGATGAGTATTGTACTACATGATTTCAATCAGATGTCAGCCTTAGAGATGGGGAGGTGTAAAAGTGAGAAGTTGCGCTTCTTTCTATACCTTTCTATACGTTAATACCAAATTCAACTGGGAAGAACAAAGGCATGTTCGCGATTTCGAATGAGGACGAACCCTTTTAATGAGTGAGGATCCTCCTCCCAGGCTTTGCAGAGCGTTAAATTGCACTGGTCGAAAAAAGCCATATTCGTGATCAACATATCAAGTAAAACTGTTATACGGGCTTTCATTGATTTTTGTGAAACACGACGTCGCGCCAAATCGGCTCTGTTAGTGCGAGATGCGCCTCAAGCAAAGGAGTAGCGCTTAAAAAGAAAAAAAGAAACGAAGTGGCGCCACGCCATCTCGCCTGGACACGCCCCTTTATCGGCAGCAAACAACACTGTACATACCTGCCCACACAGAAAGGGTCAAGTTTTTTTTCAGTTGATCGCGAACTGTTTTTCAAAGCTCGAGCTTCACTGTGGCTGCTTATACACTGGCTATCTTTCAACTCTCCCCCCCCCTCCTCGCATCCTCTTTTATGATGCAAATAAACAACAATTTTGTATGGCAGTTAACTGGGTGGTACATCGAATACGTTTAACCTTCTGTCAACAACCTAGCTGACGTTGAAGGTGTCACTTCTTCGGTAATATTTACATTTCTTCGGTATAGTCCTGTCCGTTGCGGATGAAGGGGCGTGTCAGTAAGACTGGATTCGACGCGCAGCCGGCCCGTTCTCAACAAGTTGTTGAAGTGGCTGGGAGACAACAGCTGGTGGACAAGGAATGCTGTGAACGATACGACACAGTCTCGTCGCTCTCCGAAGGATAAAAGTAAAAAACGGGTTGACGCCGCGCCGAACTCGCCCTTCCCTTGACACGCTCCAACGTTCGCAGCGAACAGGGCTGCATAGCGGGAACCTATTCGGTTCACTCGCAGCTTCATAGCACGATAGAGGACAGATTAGGAGCACTGAAAGCGTGTTCGAGAATACGGCGGGGCCAAAATACCAACAGTCCCTCAAGCCTCGACCAATCTTTTTTCGATTTTGTTTTTCTTCAAAAGAAATTTGACTGTCTATTTTGTACAGTCTTATCTGCCTAGAGCTAGCTTTCGGGGTGATTATTTTCCGGGATGCATCTTCTCTTCAACCGCTCCCAAATTCATTAAAACCTCAAGTGCAAATTGCGCTTACTTCATCCTCCCATCAATTAGGTTGAAAAGCGGGGGTTAAAAACATATGCATCAACCTAATACTTTTAGCAAATGTTTCGCCTTGCAATGGAATCTGGTGCTCGTCTGAATATTGCCAACAAACAGAATCTCACTCCACTTACGTTAGCTGCAAAATTGGCGAAAAAGCAGGTGAATTTCTTCTAATCTAGTAACTGCCGGTTGTTTGTGCCTATTATGAAATTTCGTCAAGTTCAACTATACTTTAGATGTTCATGGAGATTTTGGAACTCGAAGGTGATTCAGTGTGGGCATACGGAGGCTCAGCGTCTACTGCCTATCCACTATCAAAAATTGATACAATTAATGAAGTGACTGGAGAGCTAAACGAAGCCAGCGCACTATCATTAGTTGTGTACGGAGTGAGTTTGTTGAGAAATCATTTACCTCCACGATTTTATCGATTTAAGTAGATCTTAAAGGCAATCCAATAAATTGGGGCACAGAGAATATTGCACCTGTTAGAAGATTATAGACTGCTATTCGTCCCCTTCGCGTCATCCTTTACCTTTCATGATTTTTTCGAGATTGATCTTCAATGGGATTTACTATTTTCCGGTATTCAGTCCTGAAGGCGTCCTTTCGCAACTCTCTTCTTTTCATGCCTTTCTTTTCCTCACCCTTCCCACAATTATTTCCTTCTCACAAACACCTGATTTAACTCTTATTGGCAGTCTTCATTCCTTCTTCTTCAGTGTTGTTGTTAACCAGTAGGCATTGTACCACGATGCCATTTTGTGATACCATGCCCCTTCCCCCCACCCCCACGGCTTCCTCCGATTATGTGTAAAGTCGACGGGA